TAGCTTCTGCCTTTTAGGATGAACTCCTGACTAGAAGTTCTGAGAGTTGAAATTCCAGCACCTCCAGGGGATGCCAAGTTAGAGAAAGGTGCATTATGTCATTAGCATTCTGTAAATAGGTTGGGTGAATAGTTCTTTCCTTTTAGTATGAACTATTAACAATAAAAGAACAGGCAGTTAAGAAATATGACTTGGTGGAGAACCATGAAGACCTTGGAAAAGATATTCAGATGTTGTGATGTGTCTATACATACAAACATCAGAATCATGAAAGCTACTATTTACACACTCTTGGAAAGCAAATGTTGAACTTTGAAGAAGCAGAATAGGAAGAGTATTGATGCTTTTGAATTTTGGTGTTGGAGAAGAATCCTAAGAATACCATGGACAGCCAAGAGAGCAAAAAAAAAAAATGGATCTTCAAACCAATCAACCCAGAATTTTCTCTCAAGGCACAAATAACCAGGTCTAAATTATCCTATTTTGGACACATTATGTGAAAATCTACAATAACTTCCTAGAGAAGGCTCTACGCTGGAAAAGGTGGAAGGAAAGAGAAGCGGACCACTGGTAGCAAGATAGCTGGAGCAGCAGGGCTCAGTGTCAATGTGCCATTGGAAGATCTGAAAGACCAGGTTAGAAATAGATTATCATGAAATCATCATAAATCTATGTGGTTGCTGTAAATAAACATCAAAGTTGGATAACCTATGGTAAATAATTAGAGGATTTTATCTCAGTTTGGTTTGCTATCTCACATTATATGTCATGTAATATTTATTGAGTAGCTAGCCATATGAATGGGAAGAAAATGGTTGGCCCAATGTAATACTTTTGCAATGCAGTTTATGTAGGATTATTTATGAAAAAAAATTGCTGGTTGCAGTTGGGATAATTATGTAGGAGTGCAGCACTTGATAGGAAGTACCATTATATGTAATGGCTGACTAGCAATTTAGGCACAATATTGCTTTAAACAATGCAGTCCCAAGCAGCTGTGTTACTAAATACAATAGGGCTGTTCTGTGACTTCTGTATGTTAACATCATCAAATCATATACTAATATATATACATATACTAATCAGATTTGACTCTGGTAGGTTTTTCAGCTCAGACAAGTCATCCAGGTTCTACCACTTGCTGAGGCATAATATTACTTTAAAATGTGTTGCTTAAATAATAATTTGGAAGAACTGCTTTAGATGTTACATTGAGCCCATGCCTTTAAAAAAGGGCAGCTACTTTAAGGATTCATTAAAGTTAATGTGATTCTTAAACAGTTGCACTTACATGAAATATTAACATTGGGTTTTTTTGTTGTTATTCTCTGTCTTATGGTTAAATATTTTGTATGTTAGCTGACCAGACAGGGATAGCTAGAGCTTCTGCTGATATTCCCCATCACAGGTACTCCTCAATTTATGATCACAATTGGGACTGGAATTTCCATTGTAGTGGTCAAAAGTCAAATCATCATGTGACCAGATCCAATTTTATAAACATTTTTATTGTGTTCATTAGTTGAGTCAGGTAAGTTGTACGTTAAGTTATGCAGTCTTGACAAAGCATAATCATGTGACAGTAAGATTCTGCAACCAGTTGTAAGTGTGAGTCAGTTGCCAAATGAGGACCCAGATTGTTGGGGGCAATGTAAATATATATATACATTGCTTACTGGTGTACACCGCTTAGAGAGTGCTTGCACTTAAAGCGGTATATAAGTCTCATAAATAAATAAGTGTGCAAATTGCATTTATGTCACTGAGGGCAGGGCAACAGTTATAAGTTCGAACTTAGGTCATAACTGATTTTTTCAGAGGCCATTGTTAATTCAAACCATTGTTAGCAAGTGGCCATAGGTTGAGACTTCCTGTAATACAGGACAGTTGCATGTGACAGAGCTGATATGTTTCATCTCCATATCCTTTCACTGGGGTGATTTTTGAAAAAATACAAATGCTATTTTGGGGGATATTAACAGAATTTGTAAAAATACACATATTCTATTACCTAAAGTGATGCACCATATAAAATAATAAACTATCTTTCAGATGCTTTTAGAAGTAATATACAGGTAGTCCTCGATTAAGAACAGTTCATTTAGTGACCGTTCAAGGTTACAACAGCATTAAAAAAAGTGACATATGCCATTTTTCACACTTATGACTGTTGTAACATCCCATGGTCATGTGATTTACATTCAGATGCTTGACAACTGACTCATATTTATGACAGTTGCAGTGTCTCGGAGTTATGTGAGTTTTGCAACTTTCTGACAAGGAAAGTCAAGGGGGAAACCAGATTCACTTAACAACTGTGTTACTAATTTAACAATTGCAGTGATTCACTTAATAAATATGACAAGAAAAGTGGTAAAATGGAGCAAAACTCACAACAAATTTCTCACTTAACAACATAAAATTAGGGCTCAATTGTGGTCGTAAGTTGAGGATTACCTGTAATTATATATATTGAATAAACAGGAACAGATGCTATAAGCCTGTTTACAGCATACAGTTAAAAGTGTGAATTTTGGAATGGGAATAAGAAACTAGAAATAATTGAGTTCCGGTTCGCAGCATACCTAGTCGGACAGGGAGACTCATCTCCTCGTCGGCTAGTCTTCCCTCTGCCGGTAGACCTTTATGCGGGTCAAAAGACACCCTGGAGGGTACGACTTCTGTCGAGGAGGCTCTGCTTAGCTGATGAGGAGCGGCGGCTCCTTCAGCTGTCTGAGCTATCTCTGAGAAGAAGATCGGCCAGTAAAATGGCTGATCATCCTGCTGTTTCAAACCGCAAGTCAAAGAACATCTAAGCTGTAAGAACCCCCGTGGTGAATCCGGGTGAGGTTTTTTTTTTTTTTTTTTTTTGCTATTCTCTCTATTTTATTTTGGTTTTGGTACCTGTAAGAGCCTTGTTGGAATTATTTCCCTGGCTTGAAAAGGCAGCTTCTACATTCTTTGAGAAGAAAGGCGTTCTATAAAAATAGAACAAAATTTTAAAGACTATATTTTACTCTTATATTTTTTGGGGTACAGAAAAGAATTTTTTCCCTCTCTTTCTAAGAACTGTACTATCATCCTATGCTGGAAGATTATTTCTTTTTTCACATTGTACTTTAAAAGATAGAAAAAAGGAAATGGTGTCTGGAAAAGACCTTTCATAATTTACTGAGGACATCTAGTGGCGAAAATGTAATACTGCAATTTCTGGTTACTTGGGACCTGACCTTCAAAATACTTTTGAAGAGAAAAGATAAATTGTGCAGCTGTGGAAACTGTGGGGGTGGATATTGCCAAAATTATATCAAATATAGCCTCCACAAAAAAGAAAAAAAAGACTCTTTTTAATCACTATTAAAATGGAGAAACCGCAGTCACAATTAAACTATACACTTATATTGGAAAAGATCTATGAGGCTACTGCAGAAATATGTGCTACAATGAAAAAGTTTACTACAGAACTAACATCCATCCAGAAATTTCACTTCAAACACTCAAATGGATGTCCAGGCTACATCTGACTATGGTACAAATCAAAACATACTAGAAGAGGAATCAACAGAGATAAAAGAGGAACTTATTCTATCTTACAAACCTTCCATCTGCAACTTAGAGGAATAGAAGAAGCAAAGACTGAGACTTCAAACTACAAAGCAATGATGCTTCAAGGAGGAGAGAAACAGATGTCTAATGCAGAGGATGGGATTTTTATCCTTTCAAAGGCTACTGCAAGCAACAAAAATAGATCTATTGGCTGAAAGGGAAGCGTCTTTATGGAAACCTGACTGGCACAGAAAAAAAGCCAGAATTAGACTGAAAAGAGAAATTTAAAATTGTGTAATGGATTAAAAGGCAATGTTGCATTTATGGATTGTTTTAAGGATTATGATTTAGAGTTAGAAGCAAGAAAAAATATAAATATATATATACAAGGGTGATTTTTAGAACAGATATTTTAAATAGATTAAGAATGTACTTTTTGGAATAATAGATTTATTTTGATGAAAATTATGTATTGGAATTGAAAAAATGTTGTTTTTTTTAGATTGGGATGGTTTTAATAATTAATGGAGTGTTTTAAATTAGATGATCTTTTTGTACAATAACATAGATGTGATAAGGTATGATAATCAGTTGGATGAAATTTGAAGTTTATGTAATGAATTGAAATGAATTAAGGTTTAACATTATTTTTTGACTAAGATAGTTATTGTGTAGTGGAAGAAGAAATAAATGAGATTGGTGATAAAAGGAGGGATGAGAGAGATTAAGAACTAGAATACATCTGGAAGGGATACCTGAATTGATAACTTGCTGATTTAAGTTAAATTTGATTATGGTAATTATAAACTGATAAAGTTTTAAAACAGGTTTAGTAGTAATAGAAATTTAATTTAGAAATGGAATATTTTAAACGTATTATGTTATTTGAGGGAAATAGAGAGGGGACAGTGAATGTATTAAGTTGAGTTGTGTATGTTTTTACCTTTGAATGTCTGATTACCCAAACACCATGGTCTGTCCTGAGTACTTTTTTTAAAAAATTAAAAAACCAATAAAATATCTTTAAAAGCAAGAAACTAGAAATAATTAATCATGATTGTATAGATATTTAACATCTGAAAATGACCAAATTTGCATATTATTGTAAAGTATCTAGATATGCATGGCAAATGAACCATTATAAACATTTTAAATCAATAAATTTCATTGATACATAGCTGCATACTTTATACTTGACACTTCTTTCTTTTAAGGATCTACCTTTCTAATAGCTGATGTTGCTCTTACTAAAATGAAATTAAAAATACTTTACGAAAATAATTATATATTAAACTATAAATCCTTAGGCAAAGTACAGTGCTATAGAATTATAAATTAAACAAGTAAGACATTTTAATTACATACTTTTCAAAATTACGTTGTTTTTTCCAAATAATGCAGTTTTTTTTTCATTTTCTTATCTTATGTTTAACTTATAACTCTCTTGGGCCCAGGTTATGAAAACATACCATATGTATCATACTGAGAGCATCAGTGCAGAAAGTAAATTGAAAGAGGCTGAAAAGCAAGAAGAAAAACAAATTGGCAGATGCGGAGACCCTGTTTTTCATATTCGACTGGAGGAAAGACACCAAAGACGGAGTTCAGTGAAGAAAATTGAAAAAATGAAGGAAAAAGTAAGGATCAGATTACCTTAATTGTTTGAAATTAAAATGATAGTAATTCCAAAATTCATTTGCATTTTGTTCATGGTTTTGTATTGGATTGGGTAATTTGGGCTGGAGATAGAATAGTGTCATGTTCACATGAGTGATCCTTTCCTGTAGAGATGGGGAAGCTGATGTTTCATTGGTTGTATTTCTACACTTAACGCAATTAGAAATTGAAATCTAAAGCTAAATGTATAATGTTTGTGGTATATCCACAAACAGGTTATCAACAGAGCAATGGGCTATCCTCTCTATTTCATCCCTGTGAACTTTTTTTTCTGTTGGAGGAACTCCTTATTTTTCCTCAACTATGGGATGCTGTGGCTAGAGAATCAGGACTCCCATTGGTCAATATGGCTTTTTGTAGTTACAGAATATGGCTGGTCACACAGCCATTTTGCACATCAATTAAAATATTGTCTCTCTGGTTTTGAAACAACTCTATTCAGTTTCTTGCAGCATCCCATGATCTGTGTCATATAGCAGTTTTGTAGTAAGAGGAAAGTTAAAATAACAATCAGCCAACAGATCAACCCATCTTAGACTAATCACTGGGTGGGTCAAATCCCATGATAAAAACAATATATGCAAACAAACCCCCAGTAAAACAAAAATAGATTTGCATATAACTACATACATTTCTTAAGAAAGGAATGCCGTTGTTTACATATAGTGAATATATCATTTTGTTATTTTGTAAAATAGTGTCATAAATTTAAAATTTTGCACGTGTGTTAATATATATTTTTGCTAACTTTACATTATTTCTATTCTCAGCGTCAAGCAAAATACTCTGAAAACAAACTGAAATCTATTAAAGCCAGAAATGAATATCTGCTAACCCTTGAAGCAACAAATGCATCTGTTTTCAAATATTATATTCATGACCTTTCAGACCTGATTGATGTAAGTAATTGGGATCTCTGAAATTCTTATGCTACTGGATCATGTTTAGAATTCTGGCTCTGGTTTTTGTTGTTTAAAATGATAGGATAAGTGTTATGTTAAACACAGTTATAAGAGGATTATTTTATTTAGTGTCACCTTTTGTTCTACTGAATTATAGGAAAATATAGGGAAAACATATAACAGTATAGGCGTACTCCTACTTAAATGCAGCCTAAGTGCTAGGACTACTCACCTTAGTAAGAAATGTTTGGGCTGTTTAATGTGAACTTGTTTGGCATTCCTTGATTGAAGTATTGTTTACTTCATGATTATGAGTAAATAAATATTTTAACAGTGCTAACTTATTGCAGGTGGTATAATATAGATAAATCCATTTAAATTAGTAAGTAAATAGTCATTTGCACAGCCTCTTACACATCCTTTTCAAATTCCAAGATTTAAGTTTACTGCTAACTTCCAGATTGCCCTGATTTCACACTTATTTTCCTATTTCTAAATATTCATATTTCATTAGTACTTTATCACCCTGCTTAAGAAGCAGTAATATGTTTCAAATGTTATATAATATAAATTGGGTTTTACCATCAAATATATTCTTGTTTGCGAGCCAGATTATCAACACTTAAAATTTTAAGAGTAACTTAAAACATATTTAATGTTTATTTGAAATAGCATGATGTAAATAGTCCTTATTTCAAAAGTAGAGAAATATTCTCAGAAAACAATCCAATTAATGACTGTATTTACAAGACAACTGAAATACATACACAGTAACTTGGAGATTCATTCTGCTAGTTTAGGCAATGTTTTGAACCTAAGTCTGCTAAGCCTGACAATTATTATACAGGGCAATGTAGATTTGAGATATCAAAATAATATTAGAACAATAATAATATATTCTAACTATATTTGATTAGATTTCTAAAAATCTTCAGACAAATAATACTATTGACTAGTATGCCTACCGATAGACTATGCAATAATGTTAGATTAAGTGACATATCTTTCAAATCTCACCGTTATCTGCATACATTAATAAAAGCGATAGAATGATATCTATTAAGATCAATATGACAATTTATCATGAAATTATTGTGAGAAGCATAGAATGCAACATAGTTTTAGTAATTTAGTTTCCATTACATTTCTTCCTTATCCAATAATTATTCCATAATTGTAATTATTATATAGGTCTTTTATTTAACATATTTAATAACATCAGTCATTGATTATTAAATAAACTGCAGAGTTTTATTATGTGGGAATATAGTAGTTGTTGCTTTTAGCTTCTGCGTTGAAATTTTATTTTTATTTCTAAATGTATTTTCTTCTTTTGGCTATTCTGTTAGTGTTGCAATCTTGGATATCATGCAAGCTTGAGCAGAGCCTTAAGAACATATCTCTCTGCAGAATATAACCTTGAAACCTCACGACATGAGGGCTTGGACATCATTGAAAATGCTGTTGACAATCTGGAGCCCCGAAGTGACAAGCAGAGATTCATGGAAATGTATCCTACAGCCTTCTGTCCTCCAATGAAATTTGAGTTTCAACCCCATATGGGTGATGAGGTCAGTAATTGTTGACCAAATGTTTAAATAGTCCCACGCTCAAGACTTCCTATAGTAGACAGTTTATCAAGTTTGGAAGAAGAAGTAAATTCTTCAAGCAGTATATAATTTATAGAGAATAGATATCATTCCATCCTTGTAAAGCCTTCTGTTTTATAGTAATAAGAATACATAATATCCATTTCCTTATTTTCCTGTTATAGAACTCCAAAGAAATCTCTAAAACCATATTTTGTCAAAAGGTAATCCTCGACTTATGACCATCCATTCAGCAACTCTTTGAGCTTACAATTGTGCTGAAAAAATGGACTTATGGCTGGTCCCGAAGCTATAGTGGTTGCACTGCCCTCTCAGTCACACAATCAAAGTCTGAGCTTTGAAAATCCATCCACACTTATGACCACCGAGTGCTTCTCAGCTCCCTGATCTGCCTGTTCTCCAGCATGATGAGTGTAGAATCCACTGGTGGGTAATCTCAGCCCTCCTGCTCAGTTGAGACTAAGTCAGAAATCTGCCACGCCTCCTTGTGGGCTGGACCTTACCCAGTTTTTAACTTAATCTTAGCTCAGCAGGACGCAATTCCTTTGGCTCCTCTGAATTTAGATTAGGTAAAAGCATTTAATTTCCAGATTCTACAAAAAAAAAAATTCTTTAATTCGGCTCCAAATTGCTTGATAGTTTTCAGTCCACTGCATAATCAAAGGCTAGAAAAGGAGTTCTGCCTCGGCCCCAGCGGGCCTTCCAGGCTCCACCCGGGCCATTTTCCAGTCTCGGACTGATTGAGCCTCAAATCGACAGCAGACTCTTCCAGGAGGCATGGGGGCGTTAGCCTCAGCTGGACAACACCCCGCGGAGCTTTCGGAGGCCGGACGGCCTTGCCGAAGCGCGCCATCACCACAAAACCATTGCCGACTTCCCACGCCGATCCGGATCGCAGCGGAGGCTGCACAATGAACCACAAGTGCTTCGTTTTCGGCCCCAGAGGCAAGGAACAAGTAGGAAAACACGTTTCCCCTCAGGATCTTTCAAGACAGGGAAGGCCGGCTGAAATACTAGCGGCTGTTAATTTTGGCGCGGACGCCATTTTGAGAGCCCCGTGAAGCCCTCAGTCAAGGGATTCGGCCTCTCTCCCTCAAAATATTCTGGCTTTCTCTTTATCCTGCCGTGAAAGGCATGGATCAGGGGCAAAATAGATTGCACTGGACTTTGTCTTACAATTGAGACAAAGGTCTACAAAGATCTCCTACTTACACCAGTGTGCTTTCCCAGGACAGGGGATCATTGGCGCGGCCGCCATTTTGGATTCCCCAGTCAGCTCTGTGGCCTATCTCCAAAATAATTGTAAGGCCTCTGGCCTTAGAGAACAATACATCAGGCCTGCCGAGGCATTTCAGGCCCTTCAGGCTTAAGGTCTGGGCTAGAGGATATCTCTTCAAAAGAAGGCCTACCTCAGGGGCCTCAACCTTTGATCATTACACACCTATTCACAAAGGAGGAGGAATTTATTAGAACTATCTGTCCCATTTAACTGCGCAGGGCCTAACAGGTAGTCTTAGGTGTCTATCTGGCTGTCAGCCGTTGCTGTTGCTCAGAGCCCGGGGTTTCCCTCTCTGACAACCAGATCTGCATTCCGCCCCTTCCCTGGATATCTCCTGCCCGGAATATCCAGGTGGCAATGGCAGACAGTGCAACTCCTCAGCCATCACAGGGCTCTTCTGACCCCCCCTCCCCCCGCAGAAAAAAAGTGCAGATCCTCCAATTCGGAAGTGGCGGGGGAAAATCTAAGGCAAAACCCTTGTCCACTAAGAAGCCCTCCAAAACCGCTGAGAGAGAGGCCACGAGGAGACATCAGGGGCTGGAGAAGGAGTTCTCCAGAGCTCAAAGGCTCACTTCCAGTGGTGCAGAAGTGGTTTCCCCTGTTCCACTGGACCGCTCACCATTTGAGCCTCAATTCACGCCTCCCAATGTTGCCCCTAGGGCATGGTCTCCTCGGGGAAACTGGACAGGTCAGTCCCCCTTCCTCCTCTCTTGCAGACATTCGGGATATTTCCCCCTCCCCTACAGCACATCAAGTCCCTAAAGCCACATATACACCTACGGCAGCTGGCATCTACCCTACAGAACAACAGGGGGTGTGGCAGGATCAATTTCAGGCCTTTATGAACCAAGCCTTCTCACAATACATGGCCTCTGCCATGGGTCAACGGCCTTTACAGATGCCACCCCCCCGGCATCTGCCTCAGACAGGGCCCGCTCTGTTCCCCAGTTCGGGCAATTCGGACACATCCTCTCAAGTGGGAGAGGATGACTCCTTGGACTTCGAAACTTCAGACTTGCCCATGTCCAAAGACGAAGAGACAGTTCTGGATCCGTCCCTGACATCCGGCCTCTTTGATCCTTTTCTATTCAGGTCACTGTTATTGAAGGCCTGTACTTCGGTCAACATTACTCCTGAGCAGGACCCTAAGCCAGCGACCACCACCACCCAGGACTCGAACCCTCTGTTCTCAGAGCTGGTGGTCGAGGAGAAGCAGATTCCCTGCCCGCCTTTCTTCCGCAACACAGTGGAAAAGCAATGGGCTTCCCTAGGCACTCTTCCTAACCCTAGCGGGACTGAGAAAAAACTTTTCAACGTCTCTTCCTCTTTCTCTTCCCTCCTGGAGGTACCGCTTGTGGACAGCCCCCTAACCTCCTTGTTTTCTTTCTCCACCATACCAGGGGACATGGCAGAGGCCCTGAAAGCGGAGGAAAAGAGATTTGAATTTTCCCCCTGTGGAGCTCATCAAGCCTCGGCATGGTCAGTCAGGGCGGCGACATCATCATCTTTTTTCACCAGGTTGTCCATCATGGCTCCATGAGCTCCAGGCACTTATTCCCTCTGACCAGGTGCGAGCACACCAGACATTGGGCAAATTAGTCACAGCATCAGATTACGTGGCAGACGCATCACTCCACTCTGCCAGGTACTCCGCCAGATCCATTGCGGCCATCATCTCGTCTCGCAGACTTCTCTGGCTAAAACAGTGGTGGGCCGACCGGAAGTCCAAGTGATGCTTGGCAACTGCCCCTTATAGCAGCACTCACCTTTTCGGCCCTGTTCTCGAGCCATATCTGACAGAGGGAAAGGACAAGTGCAAGGTGCTTGCACATCCTTCCAGGAGGGCGGACAGGAAGCCACAGCAAGATTTCCGAAGGCAGTCCTTTCGAGCCAGGGCTGCCTGGGACTGGAGACAGCCCTTTCGGGCCGGACCGTCCTGGGATTGGTCCCGTAACTCGCGACCCTTCCTCCCCAGACAGGATCGCCAACAGAACCTCTAGAACCCCAGAGGCAGGTCCCAGTACCAGACCAAACGGCCCTTTTGGGGCTCCGGAGGCCGTCCGTATGGACGAAACAAGTGACTCCAGGGAGATGTCTCCCATAGGGGGTCGTCTATCCCTATTCAGTGACACTTGGGAGGCCACCACCACAGACTCATGGGTGATAGATACCGTTTGACAAGGCCTTGCCCTGGAGTTCTTATCCATACCTCCAGTGCGCTTCCTAGCGTGCCCCAACATAAGAAACGCCACTAAGGCAGGACTCATGTCCACGGCCATCTCCCATCTTCTAGAGATAGAGGCCATCGAGCCAGTGCCCACAGAACAGAAGGGACAGGCGTTTTACTCCATTCTGTTCGTGGTACCAAAGGCCTCGGGGGGCTGGAGTGCAATATTGGACTTGAAAGGACTAAACTACTTCTTGGCCTACAAGCAGTTCACGATGCAGACTCTCAAGTCCATCCTGGCCAGGATCAGGAGGGGGGATTTCCTGTTCTCCATAGACCTAATGGAAGCTTACCTTCACATCCCGATCCTCCCCGAACACTGCAAATTCCTCCAATTTTGTTGCGCGCACTGGCATTTTCAGTACAAAGTGCTCCCATTTTGCCTTTCCTTGGCCCCATGGGTGTTCACAAAGATCTTAGCGGTATTAGCCGCCCATCTGAGAATGATCCCAGTGCGCGTTCAATGCTATCCTTATCCAATCCCTTCCGTTCGGCCCAGTCGGACCTGGAAATCACCATCAGGACTCTTCAAGATCACGGATTCTCTGTGAACTTCCAGAAGAGCCACACAGTCCCCTCAACTCGCCTCCTCACCTGGGGGCGGTCATAGACTCAAATCTGTGCGAGGTCTTCCTCTCCCAGGAATGCCGGAACAGCATCTGGATCCTTATCCACCATGTTCGGCGAGAGAAGGTAGTTCCCCTAGTCCAACTGTCTCAACTACTGGGGAAGATGGTCTCCTATATGGGGATCGTTCCATGGGCCAGACTTCATTCCATAGAACTCCAGTGGTTCCTTCTCCCTTTCCAGAAGCGGAACATGAGTTCTTCCACCAGGAGGGTGAGGATCCCATGCCGGACACTGTCATCTCTTCTGTGGTGGACCTCATCGGCAATGGCCAAGGGCTCCCTCTTCAAGGAGCCTGCCAGGCTCACCTTCACCACAGACCCTAGTCTGCTTGGCTGGGGAGCTCACCTCCAGACGCATCCAGCCCAGGGTCAATGGTCCTGTTCGGACTTGAGCCACAACATAAACTGGCTAGAACTCAGGGCCAATCACCTGGCACTCTGCCACTTCTCCACCATAGTAGCGGGGCAGCACGTACTGATATTGACAGACAACGTGGCAGCGAAGGCACACATGAACAGGCAGGGAGGGACACAATCCAAGTCCCTTATGCTCGAAGCCCACAGTCTGGGCTCTTGGGCAGAGGCCAATTTGGGATCCATCAAAGCAGAGCATATATCGGTGGAGGTGAACCATCAAGCAGACTCCCTGAGCAGGTCTATGGTGGACCACTCAGAGTGGCGCCTGGACCCAGTTCTGTTCAGGGAGATCTCGGACAGATTCAGCCAACCCCAGTCGGACTTCTTTGCCTCCCCGAACAACTCCCAACTGCCCATCACCAGGTTCCCATCCCCAGGGTCAGAGGGAATGGATGCTCTTCGCAGCAAG